AGTTGGAATAGTAAAAAAGTTACAGCACAGGAGGAAGACATTTAGCCTTTTAAGCCTGCGCTGGTTCTTTGAAAGAGCATAGGTGGTTGTCCCATATCAACAAAAAACCTCACTAAGTTCCTCATTCGCTGTACAACTCTGTTTTCATTTTTTTTTTGTTTACAGAGTTAAGTAGTACCATATTTTCAAGTTCCAGATCCTGATTTCTCAGTGCAAAAAAAAATTCCTGATATTCCTACTAGATATTTTGTCAATTATTTTAAATCTGTATTTACCTACTCTCCAGATGGAATAGATTATTTTTGACTAGATTACTGAAAACTCTTATCGTATTGGAAAGCTCTGTTAGATCACCTCTTCACCTTTTCTGTGAGGAAAACAACGTTAACATTTCCACCATTATAAATAAAAGCATTGTACTGTGGATGCTGGAGATCTGTAATAAAAACAGAAGATGCTGCAGAAACTCAACAGATCTAGCAGAACATGTGCTATTGGTGCTGCATCCACTGCTTTTCATTGTTTCTTTAAATGATTTGGATGTGAATATAGGAGGTATGGTTAGTAAGTTTGCAGATGACACCAAAATTGGTGGTGTAGTGACAGTGAAGAAGGTCATCTTAAAGTACAACGTGACCTTGATCAGATGGGCCAATGGACCGAGGAGGGCAGATGGAGTTTAATTTCGATAAATGTGAGGTGTTGCATTTTGATGAGGCAAACCAGGGCAGAAGTTATACAGATAATGGTAGGGCCCTGGGAAGAGTTGCTGAACAAAGAGAATCAGGGATGCAGGTGCATTGCTCCTTCAAAGTGGAGTCTGCAGGTAGACAGGGTGGTGAAGAAGGCATTTGGCACATGTGCCTTTCTTGGTCAGTGGATTAAGTATAGGAATTGGGACGTTACGTTGCATCTGTACAGAACACTGGTGAGGCCACTTTTAGAATATTGTGTTTAATTCTGGTATCCCTGCTGCAGAAGGATGTTGTCAAACTTGAAATAGTTCAGAAAAGATTTACAAGGATGTTGCCTGGATTGAAGTGTTTGAGCTATAGGGAGAGGCTGAATAGGTTAGGACTATTTTCCCTGAAGTGTCAGAGGCTAAAGGGTGACCTTATAGAGGTTTATAAAATCATGAGGGGCGTGGAAAAGGTGAACAGCCAAGGTCTTTTTCCTAGGGTGGGGGTGTCCAAAAATTGAAGGCATAGGTTTAAGGTGAGAGGGAAAAGATTTAAAAGGGACCCAAGGGGCAACTTTTTCCACACAGAGGGTGCTGCGTGTATGGAACAAGCTGCCAGAGAAAGTGGTGGAGGCAGGTATAATTACAACAGTTGAAAGGCATCTAGATGGGTACATGAATACGAAGAGTTTAGAGGGACATGGGCCAAATGCTGGCAAATGGCACTGGATCAGTTTAGGATATCTGGTCAGTGTGGATGAGTTGGACCAAAGGGTCTGTTTCCATGCTGTATAATTCTATGACTCTATGTGTCAAGATGAACAAAGTTAATGTTTCAAGTCCAAGATGGCTGTTTTTCAGAACTGAGGTTTTCACAAAGGTTGTTACTTCTCTTTGGTAAGGGAAAGAAATAGAGAATTAGCAAATCAGTTGCTGCACAAAATGTGTACCATGCCTGACAGAGGACATAACCGTGACACTAAATTACTACTTGTCCAGAGATAGTAGGAACTGCAGATGCTGGAGAATTTGAGATAACAAGGTGTAGAGCTGGATGAACACAGCAGGCCAAGCAGCATCAGAGGAGCAGGAAGGCTGACGTTTCGGGCCTAGACCCTTCTTCAGCTTGGCCTGCTGCGTTCATCCAGCTCTACACCTTGTTATCTCTTATTACTTGTCCATCTGTGTTTAGCAAGGACAAAGCTGCTAGCAAATGTGAAGCAAAAGAGGCTGTAGATGAGATACTAGATCGGCTAAAAACTGATAAAGGTGACGTACTACAAAGGCAGGCTTTGTTAAAATTGACCACCAAGACCAAATTGTCACCAAGACTTCAGGCTTGTACAGAAAGGAGAGGCTTTCCAAGGTTGAAAGACAGTCACTAATTGCAGAGAACCCAGTCTCTGCTTGGTTATTGGAGTTAAAATTTGATATGATTGGTCCAGTGATGATGACCATAAAGATGTTGATGATGGGGGAGATCAGTAGTGGTAATATGTAATGGTAATGCTCTAAAATACAAACCCAGTTAACAAAGCTTTATGATCATTGAAGTCCATATGGTCCCACTGCTCTGTGAGACTCAGCATCACCTGAAAATATCACAACTGCTACAGGTGTAAGACACTCACTATAGTTTCTATTAATACTATATTTTCCCATCGCTTCTTGAGTTCTTTGTCCAAATGAATATATCGCTTCTTCTAATTGTAATATCTATAACTGACTGAAATGCTGTATGTAATTTTGTTAAAAATTATGTCTATAATTTTAGTGTTAAGACCATAAGACATAGAAGCAGAAATTAGGCCATTCAGCCCACTGAGTCTGCTCCGCCATTCAATCATGGCTGATAAGTTCCTCTACCCCATTCTCCCGCTTTCTCCCCGTAACCCTTGATCCCCTTGATAATCAAGAAACTATCCTCTCAGTCTTAAATGTACTCAATAACCTGGCCTCCACAGCCTTCTGTGGCAGTGAATTCCATAGATTCACTACTCTCTGGCTGAAGTAGTTTCTCCTTATCTCCATTCTAAAAGGTCTTCCCTTTACTCTAAGGCTGCGCCCTCGGGTCCTAGACTCCCCTACCAATGGAAGCATCTTCCCAACACCTGCTTTGTCCAGGCCATTCAGTATTCTGAAAGGTTCAATGAAATCCCCCCTCATCCGTCTAAACTCCAATGAATATAGTCCCAGAGTCCTCAAACATACCTCATATGTTAAGCTTTCCATTCCTGGGACCATTCTCGTGAATGTCCTCTGAACCTGCTCCAGGGCCAGTACATCTTTCCTGAGATATGGGCCCCAAAACTGCACGCAACACTCCAAATGTGGCCTGACCAGAGCCTTATAAAGCCGCAGTAGTACATCCCTGCTTTTATATTCAAGTCCTCTCAAAATAAATGCCAACATTGCATTTGCCTTCCTGACTACTGACTCAACCTGCAAGTTTACCTTGAGAGAATTCTGGACTAGAACTCCCAAGTCTCTTTGCACTTCAGACTTCTGAATTTTCTCCCCATTTAGAAAATAGTCCATGCTTTTATTCTTCTTACCAAAGTGCATGAACTCACACTTTCTTGATACATACTGCCACTTCTTTGCCCACTCTCCTAACCTGTCCAAGTCCTTCTGCAGCCTCGCCACCTCCTCAATACTACCTGTCCCTTCACCTAACTTTGTATTGTCTGCAAACTTAGCCAGAATGCCCACAGTTCCTTCATCTACATCATTAATGTACAAAATGGAAAGTTGACCCTTGCGGAACTCCAGTTGTCACCGGCTGCCATCCTGAGAAAGACTCCTTTATCCCTACTCTCTGCTTTCTGCCAAACAGCTAATCTTCTATCCATGCTAGCACGTTGCTTCTAACACCATGGGCCCTTATCTTACTCAGCAGCCTCCTGTGTGACACCTTATCAAAGGCCTTCTCGAAGTCCAGGTAGATAACATCCATTGGCTCTCCTTGGTCTACCCTGCTCGTTACTTCCTCAAAGAATTCCAGCAGATTTGTCAGGCATGACCTCCCCATGATGAAACTATGCTGACTTTGCCCTATTTTACTATATACTTCCAAATATTCAGCAATCTCATCCTTTACAATGGGCTCCAAAATCTTACCCATGGCTAAGGTTAGGCTAATTGGCCTGTAATTTTCCGTCTTTTGCCTTACTCCCTTTTTAAACAGGGGTGTCACGTTAGCGATTTTCCAGTCCTCTGGGACTCTGGTGATTCCTGAAAGATCACGCTTCCACTATCTCTTCAGCTATCTCCTTTAGTACTCCGGGGTGTAGTCCGTCTGGTCCAGGTTATTTGTCCACCTTCAGGCCAATCAGTTTTACTAGTGCCTTTTCCTTGCTGATGGCCACCATAGTCAGCTCTGCCCCGTGACTCTTGAATTTTAGGGATATTACTCGTGTCTTCCACCATGAAGACTGACCGGTTTAAACACATTGTTTAGAGGCAGTTACCTCTCTTCAGTAAGGGAGATGAATAGTGATAGGGAATTAACAGATATCTGTACAAAGCAGATCAAGAAGCCGGCTTTTGGCTCAGTGCAAATTTTATATTATAAGAACCAACTGCCATAAAGTATATTTAAACATCCACATTGAATATTAGTGAATATTTGAATAGAAAGTGGATAAATGAATGAATAGGCAGCATGCCTGGGCAGGTAAGTCAGTTCTGTAAGGGCAGAAATGAGTAGGTTGTTGGGGGGGCGGGGTCGTAACAAGTGAATTAGGTGATAGATGGGTAGCGTGGCAGGGTGCCAGGGTCAGCAGGTGGGTGAGTGAGTTGATGGTGAATGAATAGCTGGGGTAGTTGGAGGTGGGGGGAAAACTGAGAAGGTGGGGGGTAATTGTCAGTGTGAGTAACAGTGGAATCAACTGTATAGCCAACCAGGAGTTAAACTAGGATTTTCCTAAGTACATCAGGACTGCCCAACTCTAAATCAGAGTATTGAGACTTTTTCAGAGGGTCCCTGAAAATGGGGTCTGCCAGAGGAATTTAAAATTACTTGAATAATTCATACAGAGGTCAGTGCATCAAAATCTCCATGGGATTCCAACCACATCATGCCTTATCTGTGTGGTTTCCAGAGATTTGGATACAGAAAAATCTGGGCCTCTTAAATTACCATGGAAACTATAAAAGGATAGCAATGGCAGTATAATCATGATACATCAAATCACAAAAGGGCCCCGCACATAAATTCATGTTAAGCAGAGCTCCTAGGTAGCCGAGGAAACCCTTATGCAACCTGATCTCCTGGAAATGAATCTTATGTAAGAGAAAATGAAAATACTGTCAAAGTAAATATGTGAGAAATATCTTTATTTTTCAATTCATTTGTAACTTACAATGGCCTGACCTTGTACTGTAAAACATATTGAAAACCGCTGGGCGTTAACTCTGAAAACACTCAGCAATTTTTTCTGCTTTGCATGCTGGTCCCAAACAAGTCTGCCATGTTTCTAATGCAGTCAAATGTGTTTCCAGTGGTTTTGTGCTGCAGTGCGAAATCCTGGAACATCCATTCGTGGCTTCAGCTAAAGGAAAAGGCAAGTGAGGATTCATCAGATTCTTTAGGATCATCAGGGTGCAACGCAATATGGCTTCTTAGACTTTCCTATCAGAAGAAGTGGCAGCTTTTCAGTGTCATAATATTATTGCAGACCATAGCACATTCCTTGCTTCGCTTTCCATTATTACACATTTCATCTTTAAACATTAAAGAGCGATCTGGTAAAAGACAGTAAAACAATCCAATTTCATTTGCATTAAAAATGTATCTCGATACATACTCATTCAGGACTTGGGCAAACCTATTTGTTGTCACCATGGCAAACATGCCCATGATTTTGCACTCAAGCATGGCCTAACTCCACTCTGATCGGTTGCTGCGGTCATATAATGAGAATGCATACATTCAGCTAATCTGGATTTACTGCCGGCAGCAATGCCTGGCTATTTCACCAAAACCTGAATTGTGGTTTCTCTGAATTCGACTCATTGCAATTTCACTCTTTAGCAAAGGAGGTATTTCAGTCTGACACTTGTATGTCAACTGGAGCTATCTAGTCTCATTTCAATTTTCTCATTTTCTTCTTTTTTTATTTTCTTCCTTTTCAAGTGATACTTAAAATTACGGTATCTGCGGCAAAAGTGTTCATGTACTAATAATATATATTATCAAGTTTCCTTTCATTCTTTTGGGATGATCTTTAGTCTAAGACTTTTCCTTGCCAATTAAATAAATAGCGGAAAAGTTATCAGTATGTAATTTTTTAAAAAATTCATAGTTTTGAAATCTCTATTAGATCTATCTCAAACTTTTACTTTTCTTTGAAAGAAAAGCTTTTCAAGCCATCACAATGAATACCACCCTTTACTGCCAGTATCCCTCTATTCATTTACTCATCCTCAGGAAAGTGAACATTGTTTAAGACCAGCATTTACTGCTATCTCTATTGCCTCCCAGCAGCAGGTAGTTGACAGCCTTTTTGAACCATTACAGTCCATGTGGTGCAAGTACATCCACATTACTGTTAAGGAGGAGTTGCAGTAATTTGTCAGAACACAAACTCAGCATTGGTGAGCAGGTTATTGCTATTTAAGTGCGATTTGATAGCATGGTTAATGATGTCTTCCATCAATTTACTGATGGCTGAGTGTAGACTAAAGAGGCAGTAATTAGCCAGACTGAATTTGCCATAATTTTTATGGAACAAACATACCAAGGTAATTTTCTGCCTGTTAATTAAACACCATCATTGGAGCTTGGTAGGGGCACAGGTAGTTCTAGAGTGCAAAACTTCGGTACTACAGCTGAAATGTTGTCAGGGCTCATGTGCTTAGTGATATCACATGGAGTTAATGACATGGTTGAAGACTGGCATCTGTGATATTGGGGACCACTGAAGGAGACCACGATAAATCATCCAATCAGCACTTCTGGTTTAATACAATCGTAAATATTCAGTTGTATATTTTGCACTGATTCGCTGGGTACCCACATTATTGAGAGTGAGGATACTTGTGAAGCCTGTTCCTCTAGTTATTTACTTAACTGTCCACCTCCATTCATGATCAGATGTGACAGGTCTGTGGAGCTTTGATCTGATCCATTGGCTATGGGATTGCTTTCACTTTTTAGCATCCACTTAGATCTAGTTTGTAGCTTCATCAGGGTAGCACCTCATGTTTAGGTGTATATGGCACTGCTCCTGGCATGCACTCCTGTATTCTACTGAACCAGGATTCTTCCTCGATGGTAATGATATAGTGAGATTACTGGCTGTGATTAAAAACAATTCTGCTGTTGATGATGGACCCACTATGCTTCATGGATGCCTAGTTTGAGCTCCTCAGATCTGATCTGAATCTCACAGAATCACAGATTGCATGGTGCAGAGGAGGCCATTTAGCCCATCATATCTGCAAGGAGCATTATGACTGACTGTCATTCTCCAGCCTTTTCTCCATATCTTTGCACATTGTTTCTATTCAAATAGTCATCTCACAGCTTCATGAATGCTTCAATTGGCTCTGCCTTTGCCACACTCTCAGCCAATACATTTCAGACCTAAACTATTTCTTATGCGAAAATGTTGTTTTCTTACATCAAATGCACAAATCACTTTAAACTTGTACCCTTTTGTTCTTGATCCTTTTACAAGTGGGGACAGTTTCCCCCTCTTCACTTCCATTATTTTGAAAACTTCTATCAGATCTTCTCAGCTTTCTTCTCAACAAGGAGGACAGACTCAACTTCTATAATCAATTGTCACAATTGAAGTTTCTCATCCCTGTAACATCTTTGTAAATCTCTTCTGCACTGCATTCTCCAATGCATTCACATCCTTCTTATAATGTACGCTCAGAACAATACATGATACTACAGCTGAGGGCTAATAGTTTTCTTGTAGAGATTCAGCATAACCTCCTTGCTCTTACGCTCTATGTTCCTATTGATAAAGCCCACTATACTGTGTGTTTTATTAACTGGCCTGTTACCTTCAATGATCTATGTATAGATCTACAATAAGTCTCTTTGCTCCTCCTCGTTCTTAAGTACTATACCTTGTATTTATACTGTGTCCATGTTCTTCCTATCAGAATGCATTACTTCATACAACTCTGAATTAACTCCATCAGCCATCTATCTGCCAACTCTACCAACTTGTCCATGTCTTTTTGAAGTTCTACCCCGTTCTTCTCACTGTTTATAATGCTTCCAAGTTTAGTATAATCTGCAAACTCTAAAATTGTTCCTGTATAAAAAATCTAGATTAATAATATGTATCAAAAATAAACAAGGGTCACAATGTTAACCCGAAATCTCCAGAGCATAAAAAAAATTCATTGATAATTACTCCCTGTCTTCTATTACTCAGCCAATTTTTTATCCATGTTGCTCCTGCCCATTTTATTCAATGAGCTATAACATTTCTTGTAGGACAGTAGTGGCACAGAGCCTTTGAAAGTTCATGTAAAGGTAAAGGTAACATTACCATAGTTTTACCAGACCATAGGTTCTGTCATTAGAGAAATGACTGGTGGTGGTTTAACCTGAGGCCCGCCACACTCGGGCAAGGGGTGAGGCTGAGATGGAGATTCTTGAACGGTTACCTCAACTAGTGTGGGAATCGAACCCACACTGTCCACATACACCCACATCAACAGCATTTCCCTTATTAATCCTTTCTGTTAACTCCTCAAAACTTAGTCAAACATGATTCTTGTTTAGAATTCCATGCTGGCTGTTCCTAAACAAGCTACCATTTTCCATGTGATTCCAAATTCTACCTCAAATAATTGTTTCTGGAAGCCTCCCCAACACCAAAGTTAAACTGACCAGTCTGTAATTGCTGGGCTTATCCTTACAATGTTTTGAATGAGGGCAAAATGTCTGTGATTTTCCAGTCTTCTGGTACTTCACCTCAGTCCAGGAAGACTCTAAAATTATAGTCAGTGCCCTTGCAATTTCCTGTGTTACTTCCTTCAGTATCCTTGGATGCATCTCAACTAGTCCTGGTGCCTTGTCAACTTTTAGTATTGAGAGCAACACCTCTTCCTTATCAAGTGACAGATCTTCCTCCTCTGTCAACACTGCCTGGGTAGTATCTACCTCCTTGGTAACCACAGATGCAAAGTATTCATTTAACATCCCAGCTGTGCCCCTTGCCTCCATGTGTAAATCCCTTTTTGGTCCCTAATCTACCCAGTCCTCATTTTACTACCGTTTTACTATTGACGTGCCCATAGAAGACTTTAGGATTCATCTTTATGTTGGCAGCCAGTTTTCTTTCGTAAGCCCTCTTTCCTTCTCTACTAAGCTTTTTCACCTCCCCTCTGAATCTTCTATATTCCTCTTGATTTTCAATTGTATTATCTACCTGACATGTGTCAGAGTCACATCTTTTCTTCTTTATTTTAATTTCTATCTCCTTTTTCATCCATCGAGCTCTAGAGGTGTTTCCACCCCATTTCCCTTTTAAGAGAATAAACCTTGACTATACCTGAACTATCTCTTCTTTGGAGGTAGCCCATTGTTCAGTTCCAGTGTTTCCAGTCAATGATTTGTTCCAATTTATCTGACCCAGTTCGTTCTTGCCCCATTGAAGTCAGCTCTCCACCAGTTAATTATTCTAACTCTGGATTGGCAGTTGTCCTTTTCTAGCATCATCCTAAATCTTACAATACAATGATCACTGCCTCCTACATGATACCACACTGACACTTGGTCTACTTGGTCCACTTCATTTCCAAGAACTAGGTCCAACGTCATTTCCCAAACAGACAGATACATACAGCTTTGGGGAATGCAGTTGATGGATGCACTTGTGTCGGGTTAATGAAGGCCTGGTCAAGTAGGTTTTGTCCTTTTGTTGATTTCTTAATCTACAAACTCAGTCCGACAGATTATGTTCTTCATGACTCGGCCAGCTGGTTCAGTAATGGTACTGCCAAGCCATTCTTATTAATAAACATTGGTGTACCCCAACCAGAGGGGATTCTGTGGCCTTGGTACCCTCGATGCTTCTTCCAAGTGATGTTCAACATATAGGAGTACAACTCATCAACTGAGGGATGGTGGTAGGTGGTAATCTTCAGGACATTTGCCTGTCAATGTTTGCCCTGCTGCCATTAAAATTCATGGTGTTTGCAGTCAATGTTGAGGACTCCCGTGCTAACTCCATCCTAGCTATATACCACCATGCTGTACCAGTGTTTGGCCAGTTCTGTTGGTGAGACAAATCTATGCAGGAATGGTGATGAAGGGGGCTGGGATATCGGTTGAAAAGTATGATTCATTGAGCGAGATTATATCAGGTTGTTGCTTGATTAATCTCTAAGACAGCTCTCCCAACTTTGACACAAGGAGAACTTTATAGAGTCTACTGGGCAGGGTGTACCATTGCTGTGGTCTAGCAAGGCTCTCAATGACAGGACCAAATATCCACCATCACATTCTCTCGACATCTGCGGATGTGTAATGCACGTTTCGTTTTCAGCATTGCTCACATCTGGAGAATGACAATATAAAGTGAAAGCTGTGTGTTTTCATAGAACTTGACCATAACCACCTTAGGCCATAACCAACAGTCATGCTCTAGTTGCCATGTCTTAGCCTTCTAATTGATCATTCTTTATGGTACATTTTACTTCAATTTCTACTATATATCTCCCCCATACCCTGTTGTATTTTAGGTTGCTTAGGGGGCTTCAATGGTACGTTCAATGGAAACTATTTTGACACAAGTAATCAGGGCTTACTTGGAAAATACAGTGTCAGCGTGGAAGATCACACAAGAAAGTTCAGACCTTTAGTCAATCTAATTTCCAAAAACATTAGTTTCCAAAGGATGTCTCCTCCTAAGTAGTATTCACACACTACTGGATACACTTTCCTCAGCAGCCTGTCATTTGTGACATAAATGGTAACATGCAGAGATTACCTAGCAGGTATCAACTAGGAAAAATAAATCAGCTAACAAAAAAAAATGGAGACAATTCAAAAATACTAACAATAAAGATAATTCAACAAACACTAACAGGCAAAATAACTTGGCAAATGCAAATGGGGACAAACATCTGTTCTTGATTTGTAAGAGATCTGTGGCTCAGAATAAAGAATTATTTTTTCATTTTCTTGTCTACCAATGGATGCTGCCAAAATACATACAAGCACCATATGTTGATGGGAATGTGGGCACCATGAGACAGCTACAAAATGTCAGGCAGCTTGACCAGAAGTATTGACCCTCAGGCAGAACTTAGTGAACTTCTGCTATAAGTGTAATTGCTGCAGTTAGTTTGGGGATTGAGCCTGAAAGAAAACAATTCAGTTTGTGTTATTTATGGTACCTGCATTTGCTCAGTAATAATGCTCTTTATCTTTGAATAAGAATGTAGTAGCTTCAAGCACCTTTCCAGCTAGCATTTCAGCATGCAATTTGGAATGTCAGTCTGGCGCAGAAGGGTGCACTGCAATCACAGATGTCATCTTTGGAATAAGGTATGAAACTGAGACCAGTCAAGCTCCGTGCAAAAGATTCTATGTCTGCTGACTTCCCTCAAAACAAAAGCATGTAGAAATTTGCCTCATTGCTGTTCAAGGAATCACGCTGTGTGCAGTTCTGCTATTTGCCCATTACAAACTTTGACAATCCTTTACAAGTAATTCATTGACTGCGAAACTATTTGGCTGCTTGTTATTTATTTCAATTACACTGTAAACAATGTATTTATCCATTGAGATTGTAACATTTCTGAAAATATGTTTTGATTGATTCACTGCCATCTGTTTAAATTAATTAAATTGGTTATATTGGAATGAGAGGATTAATACACATTTTCTAAATATTTTACTTTTTATTGGAAAGTAACAACTTGCTAAATAGCAAGTTTGTCTATGAAGGCAATTTTCACCTGCTAACCAGTCTATTCAAGCAGAAACAATAAGTGATCTGCAGTTTAATTCTTTTTTTCAATTGTTCACCACTTTTTAAAAAATATTTCATGGACTATGGCATGGCTAGTATTTGTTGCTTGTCCCTAATTGCTCCTTGATTTGCTATGTCATTTCACAGGGCAATTACAGTCAATCACATTGCTGTGGGTCTGGAGTTATGCGTGCACCAAAATAGGTAAAGGCGGCAGATTTTCTTACCTAAAGGATTATCAGTGAATCAAATAAGTTTTTGCAACAATTGACGATGCTTGTCATTCACCATTATTGAGACCAGCTTTCTACTGCAGATTTATTAATTAAATTTAAGTTCCACCAGCAGCAGTGATAAGAATTTGTGCTCCAGAAAAATTAATCTGGATGTTGGATTACTAATCCAAGGACATTGCTGGCACACCATTATCTCTGCCTTGGAAGTATAAAGTCTAGACAAGCCTGCAAAACAGGCAGGAGCTGAATTGATACTTCAACCAAGGGCTACATCATTTTTGTGGGACATTGTTTCCAATATTCAGTGCCAAAAGCAAGACACATTCCACATTTGCCCATTTACAGGACTAATTTTTCAACAACCCAATCAGTTATTCCTAAAGAGTCCACAGAGGTCCACTAAAAAAAAGTACCACAGAAATACTGTTGTTGGTCACTTAGTGCCACCCTCGAAACTTTTTACAGTTGAGTCACCAGATGTCTCTGCTTCAGGCTGAACAACTGCCCTCCAGCCTTATCTAGTCTTTAGCAACTCACAAACCCAGTGCAATGTTTCAAGCCTTAGGTCATTCTTCAGTAAAGGCTGTGTGGCAACCTGATAAGAGGCATTTAAAATTATGAAAGATTTTGAAAGTGAATTCATTGATAATGTTTTCTTTCTTGAGGGTGAGTAAAGGTGATCTTTACAAGATAGTCACTAAGAAATCCAATAAGGAATTCAGAATAAATTTATTTACCCAAGGAGTGATGAGAATGTGAAACTCACTGTCACATGGCATGGTTTAAGTAAATATTATTGATACATTCAAGGCGAAGCTGTACATGGGAAGAGAATCGAGAATTACAATGATGAATTTAGATGAGGAAAGATGAGAGAAAGCTCAGATGAAGCATGAACATGGACCACTTGGGCTGAATGTTCGGTCATTAGTATATGTATATGTGCGTGATACGGGTATGAACTGGTCAGTGCGCTACTCTACTCAATGCTTGCTGAATTCAGGCATTGAAACATTGATATTGCATTCTGAGCATATTGGAGGCAACCAAACTGACACATGGGCTCCCAAGGGTCAAGGGTCACTGTCAGAGGTTATTCTCCTGTGAGGCCGGAGAGTCCAAAGGTTCACTTACCAGTCTGCTGCACACAAACTCCTCACGGGGCACCAGAGAGTAACACCACACATATCTGCAACCATAATGTGGGTCTTAGTGGGCATGGAGGATGGGCTGGGGGGCAGTGGGTGTCCGTGGTCGTTGCTGTTGTCAGCCCCGGTGACGGTTGGCACCTTCTCTTTCCTTTATTTTTCACATTCTGTGCTCTCCCTCCCAGCCTTTTCCGACTCCGCGTCGCATTGGGATCGCGGGGGAGGTTGGGCGGGGGGGGCGGTGGGAGGGGTTGCTCAAGGAAGGCTCCGGCCCCCAAGCTTCGGCCAGCCGAGCGCGCGCAGCACCAGCTGACCGTTAATTTAAACGGCCGCCGCGCGTGAGCGTGTTTGCGGTGCGCGCCCGCCCGGAGAGGGGACGATCAGTTAGTCAGTCATTGAATGAGCGGGCGGGCGAAGGGGCTGAGAAACTTCCCTCCGCCGTTTGGGCTCGTCCTTCTGCAGGAGGCAATAGGTTTATCGCCTTATGAGGCGGATAGGAACAGTCTCCGGGGTGCATTCGGAGTCCCACTGCACATCAAGGAGCTGAACTCTTCGAACCTGACCCACAGCCACTGCAATCGCCGACGCTGCTTCTGGGAATCGACTCTAAACTTCCGTACGAAACTGAAAGAACAAGAGTAGATGTTTCCGCACAAGCCCGAGTCAGAGACAGTGGTTTTTCGACCTTCTCTCATTTAAGGAACCCCCACAATATAGTGTATGAAATGCTGTGGAATCCTGTCCTCCAAATCAAACGTGAAAACAAAGTAGTACACAATTGAGCAAATGAATGAACGTGCAAAGAAGTCTTTTTTAAAAATTAAAACTATATTCAAAACTCTAGTAAAATGTTCAAATTACCTGAAAATTGGGTGGAAACTTTGAAAGATACTCGGATTCTGGGGAAATCTGGTTGAAAAACACTTTTTCTCCACAACATTCACTTGCATTGACCACTGAGAACATTCAACTTGTCACTTGATAATTGTGTTTCGCTGTGAGTTGGGGATAATTACAGAGAAAATTATGCTTTCATCCATCAGACCCCAGCCTCCCTGCCACACAGCATTCAACCCTTTTATTTATTAATTGGAGTATGAGAACCAACTCAGTGCCTTAGGTGCCAGGACCCTTATTACTTCTAGGTACATTTTACAGCCATCCTTATTCATTCTTTGCACTCCCAAGAATCAAGCAGTCCGACGTGCTCCCTATGGATCATATTTTCCCCCACTTTATGCACAGAGGATTATTGAGTGTCCTGGCTGTTTTGTTTATGGTTGTAGAATTCAGTAGCAACCATGCAACGATACCAAGGAGCTGCACACCACTGGGCATAAATGCCACAGTGTGGGTGAGTTGCAGCCGAAAAACAAGATTCTGGAAGGAACTTTGTGTAAGACTCATCAGAACATATTGAAATGAACACACTGAGAGACGGATTAATCATTACGCAAGTAATTTTAAGTCACAGCCTGGTAGAAGAGCAAATACAGATCTTGTTCTGATTAATCTGTATAATTAGAAAATGTAATAAAGAATAATCTGTATAACTTCAAAAGGAAATCTCATGCTTGACCAAACCTCTTGAATTCTTTGAAGGAGCAACATAGCAGATGATTACATTCTCCCATCACAATAGGTGACTCATTATCCAATGTGATGTTGGAAGGGATCACCCCAATATAATAGAACCTTTGAACTGATTGGAAGGGTAAATTGTTGATTGTAACTATTGGATCTTGGAGTTTGTGGTCAGGGCAGATTTTTCAGATTTATCAGAAGGCCAGTGTGTTCTGAGCTTGGGCAGTGACCCACAAGTCTCATGCAGAAAGTCAGTTACGGGGCTGGACTTTGTTGGGATATAATTGCCTCAACAATGGGCTGGAAATCTAGGGATAGCCTTTTATTGACCATCAGCCACGTTTCATGCCCATCTTTGTCCAGTGAACTGCTGCCAGGCTGCTTGTCTCAAGGGGCCCAATATCCTGGCAGGAGATTTGTTGGAACTACTTGGGAGGGTTTAAACTATTCTGGCAGCAGGGTGAGATCCTAAGCAGTAGTGAGACAAGAGAGAAAGTTGAGGCTGGTACAGAAGTTAAAGAAAACAAGTTAAATAGACAAGGCAGGCAAGAGCACGGCAGAGAACAAGGGAAGACTGATGAATTAAACTGCATTTATTTCAATGCAAGAGGCCTGACAGGTAAGGCAGATGAATTCAGGGCATGGATAGGAACATGGACTGGGATATCATGGCTATTACAGAAACATGGCTGAGGAAGGACAAGATTGGTGGCTCGATGTATGGATGCTCTAGGAAAGATAGAAGGGTAGGCAAGAGAGGAGGGGGAGTGGCATTTTTGATTGGGAAAATATTATGCAGTACTTAGGATATTCCTAGAGGATTGTCTAGTGAGGCTATATGGGTGGAACAGAGAAATAAGAAGGGGTGATCACTTTGATGGGATCTTGCGAAAGACACCCCCAATAGTCAGCAGGAAATTGAGGAGCAAATATGTAGGGAGATTGCAGATGGCTGTAAGAATAATAGGGTTGTAAAGTAGGAAATTTGAACTTCCCAAACATAAACTGAGACTGCCATAGAGGAGGAGGAATCTGTTAAGTGTGTTCAAGCAAACTTTCTTAATCAATATGTGGATAGCCTACTAGAGAAGGGGCAAAACCCAAACTCCTCTTGGGAAATGAGCCAAGTGCTTGAGGTGTTAGTGGGGCAGTACTTTGGGATTAGTGATCATAATTCTATTAGTTTTAAAATAGTTATGGAAAAAGATAGGCCTGATCTACAAATTCTAAATTGGGGCAAGGCCAATTTTGATTATATTAGACAGCAACTTTCAAAAGTTGACTGGGGGAGGTTGTTCACAAGTGAAGGGGCGTATGGCAAGTGGAAGGCTTCAAACATGAGATAATAAGAGTTCAGGGACAGCATGTTTTTGTTTGTGTGAAGAGCAAAGCTGGCAAGAGTAGGGAACACTGGATGACTAGAGATACTGAGGCTTTGGTCAAGGAAGAGAAGAAAGCATATGTCAATTGTAGATAGCTGGGATCAAGTGAATCCCCTGAGGAATACAGGGGGGTGTAGGATTACACTGAAGAGGGAAATTAAGAAGGCAAAAAGGCGACAAGAGAGGGCTTTGGCAGATTAGGTTAAGGAGAATCCAAAGGCATTCTAAAGTATATTAAGGTCAAAAGAGTAACTAGGGAGAGAATAGAGGCCCCTTAAAGATCAACAAAGCCATCTATGTTTGAAACCACAGGAATATTTCATGTTAGTTATTGCTGTAGAGAAAGATATGTAAACTAGAGAACTCAAGGAAATAAATAGTGATGTCTTGAAAAGACTTCACTTTACAAAAGAGGAGGTGCTGGAGGTCTTAAAATACGTAAAGGTAAATAAATCTCTGGGATCTGATCAAGTGTATTCCAGGACATTGTGGGAAGCTAGGGGAGAAATTGCGGGGCCTCAAGCAGTGATATTTATATCATCAGGTCTGGCAGAGTTAACTTTTTGGGTCCTGTGACCCTTCCTCAACTGAAGAAGGATTACTAGACCCGAAACATTAACTTTGATTTCTCTTTACAGATGCTGCCAGACCTGCTGAGCTTTTCCAGCAACTTCTGTTTTTGTTTCTGATTTACAATATCTGCAGTTTTTTTTGGTTTTTGTATTTATATCATAAATAGCCATGGGTGTGATGCCAGAAGATGGAGAGTGGCTAATGTTGTGCCATTATTTAAGAAAGGCTGTAAATAAAAACCAGTGAACTACAGATGAGCAAGCTTTAAATCAATGGAAGGTAAGTTGTTGGAGGGGATTCTGAGGGACAGGATCTGCATGCATTTGAAAAGGCAAGGACTGATTAGCAATGGTCAACATAGCTTTGTGCGTGGGAAATCGTGTCTCAGTAATTTGATTGTATTTTTTGAAGAAATGACCAAGAAAATAGATGAAGGTGGAGCAGTAGATATTGTCTACATGGACTTTAGCAATACCTTCAGTAAGATTCTGTATTGTAGACTGATTATCAAGGTTAGATCACATGGGATCCAGGGAGAGCTAGCCAATTGGATACAAAATTGGCTTGACTGTCAGAGACAGAGGATGGTGATAGAGAGTTGTTATTCAGACTGGAGGCCTATGACCAGTGGTGTGCCGCAAAGATCAGTGCTCAGACCACTGTTTTTCATTAATACAAATGATTTGGATGAGAATATAGGAGGCACGGTTAGTAAGTTTGTGGATGATACCAAAATTGGTGGTATAGCGGACAGTGAAGAAAGAATCTAAGAGTACAACAAGATTTGAATCAATTCGGCCAGTGGGCCAAGGAGTGGCAGATGGAGCTTAATTTAGATAAATGCAAGGTGTTGCATTTTGGTAAGACAAATCAGGCAGGACTTACACAGTTAATGATATGGCCCTGGGAAGTGTTGTTGAACAGAGAAACCTAGAGGTATGGATAAGATGAATAGCTGAGTTTCTTTCCCCAGGATAGAAGAGTCCAAAACTAGAGGGCGTAGGTTTAAAGTGAGAGACGAAGGATTTAAAAGGGACGTGAGGGGCAACTTTTTCACACAGATGGTGGTGCATATATGGAACAAGCTGCCAGAGGAAGTGGTAAAAACATTTGGGCAGGTCCATGGATAAGAAAGGTTCAGAGGGAAATGGGCCAAACACAGGCAAATAAGGTGGTTCAGTTTAGGAAACCTGCTTGGCATGGATGAGTTGGGCCGAAGAGTGTGTTTCTGTGCTGTATGACTCTATGCCTATTTGACTCAATGACTTGTCCCTTTAAAGGGACTTCTAAGATTTGCCAGCCTGGGCAATGTGGTGAGAATTAATTTAAAGGCTTTGGGGATGTTGCTGCAGGGATGCCCATTACTGCCAGGAAGTGCAACTAGAAGCCAAAACTATACCTCAATTAGGAGGCCCTCCACCATTCCCCATCTCACATCCCCTACCTCACATACACCTACACCCCTCCACATTCCCACAGCACCCCACACACATTTACCCTACCCCACACACTTAACCACAACGCATATCCCCCACTCCATGCTCAGACCCCAACCCACACATCATTCCTATGCTATCCAACTCCCACTTCATATCACCTTGCACCCACCCAACTCTTAGGTCTGCAAGGAACTCGGCAGGATTCAAAAGCTGGTCATCCCACACTGTAAAGGAAGCATCCACCACAGATAAAATGCCGTTAGCAAAGGTACAAGGCCTTTAATTAAAATGAGGCAGCTAGCCTGTAGGAGGGCCATCCTCCACCTTCACATAGTAGATGCCATGGTAATGGAAAGTCAATGGGTACGTCACCTGCTACCTCCCCTCTCCAATATCTATATCATCATCTACTTTTCTGCTCATTCAGTACCCATAAAAATCAAGAAATGTAGTGCAGCCATCTCTATTTCCATTTCACTGTTGCATTTCCTGACCACTGAGAAACACAGGAAGAACAAATTTAGATCAGGCTGCCAATTGCAATGTGAGATCCTAATTTAAATAATTTAAATCATTCTCAACCACACTGGACAAGCCTTTTGTTTCTTTACTACAGATCCTTGTGCTTTTTATACCAGGAAACCTGTTGTAAGACCTTCGTTTTTCCGACCTATCAGAGACATCATCCCTTCTTTCTCCCATCTCCTCCTTCCGCTTTCTTAAAGTCCGTTGCATTTCTATTTTCCTTCAGTTCTGAAGAATGGTCCTTGGGTTGAAATGATAGCTCTATTTCTCTCTCCGCAGATGCTGCCAGATGTACTGAGAATTTCCAACATTTTCTGTTTTTGGTTCAAATTTACAGCATCTACAGTAATTTGCTCTTAGGTTGTGTGGGCACAAAAACAGTGCAGACATTGCAAGTTGAAACCATGTTTCTAATTTGTCAGTTTTAAACCTATTCCTGAGTTGTGCCTGATGTAAGGAATTGGGAGGTGGTGGGGGACATGGAGTGGGGGACATAATAATCAAGTCTATGTGTCAGCAAGATCTAAGGTCCTGAAACGAAAGATATATGAATCATCCTACTTGTAAAGTATCATGGGACGTCAAAGCTGTGAGAGGAAAATTAGCCACGTAAACAATTGAAACCCACAATGTGAACTGCAAACCTCATGAAAGGAAATCAGCTAAAAGAACTCAAGTAAACACCTGAAACAGTGGGTAATAACTAGATCCAGCATTTAGTCAACTGTCCAATAGTTCTCAAACATTTATATTTAATTCAGAAGAAACAACCATAATCCTTTATGGTTGGCTTCAATGTGATGACCATGCAATTAAAATTCCCTTCAAAAACATGTCTACCCGTTTCTGCATGATTCCTGTCTTCTGCCCAGTAACTGTGCCCTCTGTTTCAGTAGCTAAGGTACTCTTTTGATTCAGACACTCACTTATTAATATGCGAATACAAGGTTACTATGTCGTTATTAGAATCCTATTAGCATTTTAACTTGCTGCTGATGAAAGCACGCATTACAACCATCCCACTTATTGAAACATACTTCAAAAGGCCAATAAGGTCCTTTAACATAAGTGTTAAATTTTTCTTATTCAGGCCAAAAAGAGTGTGGAAAACATGAACTGGGGTGCCCCTGGTTGTGCAATATTGTAAGAACCGCCTTCCACTGCTGGACTTGCCCTTGCTACTTTCTTGATTGCAAGCAAACGGCCAGACACCATCAATTTGGAAGCCCCAGTTAAAACTGAATATTATTTTCAGGATTTCTGAGTTTTCTTGAAGTTTGTTCAAAAGTTCTGACTGTCTCGTATTTCCCATATATGAACTCACCTTTTCAGGGATTTGCATTGGGAATAATGGATACATTTATCACTAACCAAAAACAAAACCTAACCGAATAAAATCAAAATACTGTTGGCCATGTCAATTATACTTCCAGTTTCTCAGTTGTGATAGGTATCAAACAAGTGCTCTTGCACTCATTTTAGGAATGCCCTCCCCTCTTTGCTATAAGACTGATCTATTTCAGTCTGTATTGAGATATCTTAAGTTTTTATTATCCTACATAGTAGTTTGGCTGCAAATTTGTTTCCTCTATCTCTTTCCAACTATTTGGTATGCTGTAGCATAGGTTCATCAGAGTATGAACTCTTGAGTACGGTGTCTAGAATTTGTCTTAGTTGGAAGCTCCTGCTGCATTAGAAACCATGGCTAAAGCCTCAAAGAAAGTGAGCTGGAATTCTACTTGAAAACATTTAGAGTTTTGAAGAACTTTGTCGTGATGTTCATGCCATATATACTGAGTGAATAGCCCAGTAAATCAGTGAGACCTATTTTTGTTGTATCTGCTATTTAATGTGTGATTTATAATATAGAGGCTATGAGTTGCTTATTAATTAAGTTATAAGTTATTTTGATTTTAATTTAATTAGTAAATGTGAAATCTTAACCTTTGGTTTTCTCATTGTTACCCTGATGCACTTGTATAGTACGATCTGCCTGTAAAGCATGTAAGACAACAATTTTCACTGTATCTCCGAACACGTAACAGTAATAAATCAAATCAAATTCAATCAAATCATTGGGCATGTTGATTCATTTAGTTTATCATCAGGTTCTAGTTATTATAAATAACACTGTAAAGAGATATATGTCATATAGTTACCGCAAATATTTGCTTGTTAAATACATTCACTTGATAAAGTCAAAAATAAGTTAGTGAAGACACTGATTCTTTGATGCAAGCTATGGTGCAGGGATATCAATTGGGAAAATCCTTTAAACCCATGAAAAACCTAATCCTCCACCTTCAGGATGAAAAATCAGAGAAAATAAATTCAGTTAATCATTTTGTAATAGGAGAAGATGTACATCTATCAACACAGAAAGCATCTATTTAGGTTCAGCATGCGAGTACAATAGATGTGCATTATATAGGGCATTTTATGCAACCATGAAACAATCCACTAGTGGCCACAGAGAGAATAAGGGTGCAGTGACTCAATTTTTCCAATTTGTACAGCAAATTCAGTACAAAGAAACCACTCAATACATTGAACGTTACCACCATTTTAGAAATAAAGTTTATGGAGTTGCAGCTGTATTCAGTACAAAGAATCCAACATTGAGTTAAATGATTAATAAGGGAAACAGGAAGTCAAACTTACTTTCTGTCTGTTATTCAGGGCAATTACAGGAACTGTGAGAACTCAAAAAAGCAGCAAGACTCCATATTTTTTATTGCAGATTTAAATTTCTGCTAAAGGAACTAATTTCTCACCGCGACATGCATCTGTCTGAAGTTTTCACCATCTGTAAGTAATGTAAGTACAAGCTGTCTCTAGCTCTATAACTGATTCTGTTTTCCATGATTTTTAAAAAGATGTTTATTGGTGATTGTCTCTGAAGTGTGCAATCTTGCTCATTTTTTACTCTGCCTGCACTACATACATCATAAACAATTCTTTCTGAAAAGGTGTTTCACACTGTGAAAACTGTGTAGAAAGAAATATTTCCTAACCTTTCTTGTTCCTGATTCAGAATTCTTTTCCTGTTTACTCTCCCAAAGCATTTCATAATTCTAAAAATCTGTTTCAGTTAGTTTTATCCTTCTCTGTCCCAGTGAAAATTGTCCCAGTACAAGAACATAAGAATTAGGAGCAGGAGTAAATTATATAGTCCTGTTGTGTAGTCCTGCTGCACCAGTCAATACAATCTTTCCTCAACTCTACTTTTCTACCCACTCCCTATATCCTTTGATACCAAGAGTCTGTCTATCTCAGCCTTAAATATGTTCAATGGCAGAGCATTCATGACTCTTTGCGGAAGAAGATTACAAAGATTTTATCCTCATTGCAATCCTAAATGATTGACCCCTTATCTGAGGCTGTGTCCCCATGTTCAAAATTCCACAGACAAAAGAAACAATCTCCCCATGTTTACCTCTTCAGATTGTATAATCAATGAGATCACCTGTTATGCTTTCAAACGAGAAATAATGGACCCAAATTACTCAATGTGATCCCAAGATAATCCTCTCATCTCAGGAACCAATGTAGTGAACCTTTGCTGTACCCACCTTAATAGAAGTATGTCCTTAAACATAGAGATAAAATCTGCACATAGTATTTCATATGTGGTCTGAACGAAGCCCTGTACAATTGTTTGTGAGACTTCTTTATTCTTGTACTCCAATCCGGCAACAGTAAAAGCCAACATGAATTTTACCTTCCTATTTACATGCCGTAGCTGTATGCTAGCTTTCTGGGTTTCTTGTATGTGTACTCCCAAATGTCTCTAAACATCAACATGTAGTAGGTTTGTGTTTTTTTTTAATTATTCTGTTTTTCTGTTCTTACCACAAATCACATTTCCCCACATTGTTCACCTTCTGCCTTGTTGTCGAATCAATTAGTCTACCTGCATCTCTTTCCAGCCTCTTGTGTCCTCCTCCCACTTTACATTCCCACCTAGCTTTGCACCTTAAAAAAATGAGATACATTATTCTTGGTCTATGTTGTAAACGTAGATTATAAATAGAAGAAACTTTAGCACTGACCCTTGCGCAGCTACGGTAGCTACAACCTGCCAATTTTTAGAGTCATAGAGTCATACAGCACGGAAACAGATCCTTTGGTCCAACCATTCCATGCCGAACATAATCCCAAATTTAACTAGTCCCACCTGCCTGCTCCTGGTCCACAACCGTCCAAACCTCTCATATTCGTATATCCATCCAAATGTCTTCTAAACGTTGTAACTGCACCTGCATCCACCACTTCATCAGGAAGTTCATTCCACACGCAAACTACCTTCTGTGTGAAAAATTTGCCTCATGTCTTTTTTAAATCTCTCTCCTCTCACCTTAAAAATGTGCCTTACTCTTCAAATCCACCATTCTAGGGAAAAGACAATTACCATCAACTCTATTTATACCTCTCATTATTTTATAAACTTCTATCAGGTCACCTCTCAACCTCCTACGCTCCAGTGAAAATGTCCCAGCCTATCCAGCCTTTCTTTATAACTCAAAGCTTCCATACCCGGCAACATCCTGGTAAATCTCTTCTGAACTCTCTCCAGCTCGATAATATCCTTCCTATAACTGGATGACCAGAACTGAACACAGTATTCCAAAAGAGGTTTCACCAATGCCCTGTACAACCTCATTACAACATCACAACTCTTGTACTCAAAGGACTGAATAATGAAGGCAAGCGTGCCAAACGCCTTTGTAAACATCCTGTGACGCAAACTTTAAAGAATTATGTACCTGCACCCCTAGGTCCTTCTGTTCTACAACAGTACCCAAGGCCCTAGCATTAATTGCATAAGCCCTACCCTTGTTTGTTGTACCAAAATGCAATACCTCACATTTATCCAGATTGAACTCCATCTGCCATTTTTCAGCGCATTGACCCATTTGATCAAGATCCCTTTGTAATCTTAGAAAACCTTCTTCACTGTCTACAATGCCACCAATTTTGGTATCATCTGCAAACTTACTAACCATATCTTCTATATTCTCATCCAAATCATTTATATAAATGACAAACAAACGAGGACCCCGAACTGATTTCTACTATGCGGAACCTTGTCAAAGGCTTTACTAAAATCCAAATAAGTATCTTCTACTGCTCTGGCATCATCAACCATTTTGGTAATTTCCTCAAAAAACTCAATCAAGTTTGTGAGATGTGGTTTTCCTCGCACAAAACCATGCTGACTATCCCTAATCAATATTTTCCTCTATAAACGTCCATAAATCCTATCTTTTATAATCACCTCCAAGAATTTACCTACAACCAAAGTCAGACTCACAGGTCTATCGTTCCCTGGTTTCTCCTTACAACTTTTCTTAGGCAAAGGTATAATATTGGCCACCCTCCAGTCATCAGGCACCTCACCCGTAGTTATAGATTATGCAAATATTTCTACAAGGGACCTCGTAATTTTCTCCCTTACTTTCCACAACATTCTGGGATACTTTTGATCAGGTCCTGGAGATTTATCCACCTTTATATTCTCTAAGACCTCCCAAACTTCCTCTTCTGTAATGTGAACTGTTTTTAAAACATCAAAGTTTATTTCTCTACATTCTCTAGCCTTGATTTCTTTCTTCACAGTAAAAACTGACGTGAAATATTAATTTAGTATCTCTCCCATCTCCTGGGGATCAACACAAAGATGACCTCCTTGATCTTTAAGAGGCCCAACCCTCTCTCTAGATACCCTCTTGCTCTTAATGTATTTGTAAAATCTCTTTGAAATGCCCTTAACCTTATCTGGCAATGCTACCTCATATCCCCTCTTTGCTTTTATGATTTCTATCTTAAGAATGGCTCTACACTCTTTATTTTGATTAAGAGATTTGATTAAACTAGGTTGTCTATTTCTAAAAAAAAATTGTCTTTCCTTCTTGACAAGAACCTCAATATCTTTATTCATCCATTGTTCCTTAATCTTGCCAGCCTTACCCTTCACTCTAACAGAAACAAAGTGTCTCTGAACTCTCTTCATCATACTCTTGAACAACTCCCACTTGTCAAACGTCTATTCCAGTCAACTTTTGAAAGTTCTTGTCTCATACCAATAAAATTTGCCTTAGTCCAATTAAAGACTTGAAAATCAACTTGAAAATCCTCCAGAACTCTGCCTTAAGTGGTTGACCCCTTATCCTGAGGTTATGCCCTCTGGTCCTACACTTTCCCACAAGGGTAAGCAATCTCTTCTCATCTTCCTTCAGCCTAAGAATCTTATATATTTGAATAAGGTCACGCCGCATTCTTTTAAACTCCAATGAATACAAGCTCAATCTGCTGAACCTCTCCTCATAAGAAAATCCCAACTGTATCCAGAATCAACCTAGTGAACCTTCGCTGGACTACTTTCAATACCAGTATATCTTCCCTTAGATAAGGGAACCAAAACTGTTCACAATATTCCAGCTGTGGGCTACTGCATTGTATAGTTTTAGCAAGACTTCCCTATTTTTACAGCCCATTTCCTTTGAAATAAAGGGCAATGTTATATTTGCTTCCCTATTATTTACTGAACTTGAATGCTAACATTTTATGATGGCTGACAGCAATGACCGAGGTCAACTATGTTACATGTTCATTGAGGCACACACAGTTCTAAACACAGATGTTATCACAGAAACATCACATATGATGCCACACAAAAATGCATCACAGTGCCTGAGCAGAGAAGCCCGCGTGATTTTGAACTGGGGTTCAATGGTGGGGAGAGAGATGACGAATACTGGACATGGGATGTGAACCCCTGAAGTGAGAAGGGAAGAGGGCCTGAAAGCCAGCAGTGGCGTTGACAAGGAAAACCAGGAGAGAGGGAGTGGTGAAAGGAGGGCAAAGGAGCCAGGTGTCCCTTACCCCCTTCTCTCTCACTTCTACACTCTCCCTGGCTCTCTTTCTCTCTCCTACCTCTCCTCCAGTGCTCTCCCAGACCCAGATCTCTACCCTTCTATTCCTGATCTCTTTTCCCTTTCACCCCAATCCTGATCTCGATCTTTTCCACACCCACCAGTCCCAATATCTTACCTCCTCTAGTCCCAATCTTTCCCTCCCCAGTCCTGATCTCTTCTACCCTGCCACATTCCCACACAGAAATCTGCAAACATGTGATTTAAAGCAGCACGCAGCTCTCATGCGTTGATGTCAGTGAACACAACCTTTTGTGATTCATGCATAAGCACACCCAAATCCCTCTGTGCTGCAGCTTTCTGCAGTCTTTCCCCGTTTAAATAATATTCAGCTCTTTATTTTTCTGCCGAGGCATATAATCGCATATTTTTACGCATTATATATTATCTACCAAGTTTTTGCCTATCCACTTCACCTGACCATATCCCTCTATATACTCTTTGTGTAATCTTCACACTTACCTTCTCACCTATTTTCATGTCATCCCCAATGTAGCAATAGTTCATTCACTTTGCTCATCCAAATCATTAACATGTATTGTAAATACTTACGGTCCCCAACACTGTGGAACTTCACTAGTTAACTGTTGCCATCTCAAAAAATGTTCCTTTTATCCCTACTGTCTATTTTCTATTAGTTGGTCAACCCTCTATTCGTGCTAATATACAGTTCCAAACACAATGGACTCTTATCTTATTAAGTAACATAATGTGAGGCACCTTATTGAACACTTTTTCAAAATCTAAACATATTGTATTGTACTGCTTCCCCTCTATCTGTCTGCTTTTTTACCTCCTCAAATGACTCTAATAAAGTTATCTGGTATAATTTCTCTTTCATGAAGACTTGCTGACTCTGTTTCATTTTATAGAAGCATAAGA